TCTTGCGTGGATTTCAATCCAAACCACAGGAGAGATGGTGAGAGGAGATGGCAAACACATTAGGGAACACACACACACACACACACACACACACACACACACACAAGAAGTAGGAGTCCCAGGAGAGGTGTTTCTGAGGAGATGAGCTGACATATGGCCTGCAGACCACTGCACTGGGTGGAGCAGTGTGTGTAGTGGGTAGATGGGGCCTGTGTGTGTGTGTGTGTGTGTGTGTATGGGTGTGTGAGGGTGGGGTTGCTACTGGTCTGACTGAGGGTGCAAATGAATAGAACAGTGGTTAGAGACAGTTGACACTCACTATCAATTTTCCCTGTTGACCCACTACTGATTTTCTGTACGCACAGAATATAATGTTTTTGTTAAAAGTGCCTAATACGAGATTGAGAGCCTTTCTATTGCCTCTCAGAGGCTCTCAATGTGGAAAATGATGGCTCACAAGTTCACTAACGACAAAAAGGGCAGTGGAATTGAGCACAGTGCAGAGCAGCAGTTGTGAGCTCACTAATGGATCTACCTTTAATTGTTTAATATATAAAAAATCTCTCAATTTGTTATTATGAACTCTTTTAAGTATCCAAAATAACCCAAACAAGTATTTCATTATTTCTATGTGGCATTTATGTGAAGGAAAGCATGAATGTTAAAATGATACAACCTGCAAAAAGCTTCTTTCAGACTAATAACTATTGAAAAGGCTTTTTCCACATGGAACGTTAAACATAAATGGAACCAACAGCCAAAAGCGTTCACTTCAAATTAGAAACTTTATGACTTTTTATTGTAAAGGAGTTAAACTAAACTAATCTAATATAACACAATTTCAAGTGCCCCCAGTTCTAATCTCTTTAATCCATCTCCTCTGTATAAGTATGATTTGATTGTTTGAATCGTACAATGTTTTCCACATGGTTTGTAAATGTCAGGCTGGGTTAGTAAGTGTACTCGCTCAGCTACAGTACAGTCATTGTGAATATGGAGAACAGAGTAGGAACGGGATAACTTAAGAGCAGGTCCTCTTGGAAGGTCAACCTCATTTCACCAACATGTGGGAATTCCTCCACTCTGCCAGTCAATTCCTAAACACAAACACATATAAACACACACACACACACACACACACACACACACACACACACACACACACACACACACACACACACACACACACACACACACACACACAGCCAGGGGGTGTTTGACTGGCTATTTGACTGAATGGCCTATCGCCATGGTTACAGCAGCACTCCATCAGTCCATTCAAAGAACAGATGGCCGATGTGCAACAGGAGGCATATGTTTCAATGAACACACACACACACACACACACACACTCGTATTCACTCAGGGACAGACCCACAAACACACACCCACAACGCTCTCTGTCTCGCACACACAGGGCACACACATGCATGGATGCGCCCCCGCTCAGAGGGAGGGTATTGAACAACCAGCAGCATATGTTCCACTAGTCAGAGAGCATCCATTCAAAGACAAACAGGGAGAGGAGGAGGAGGAGGAGATGGAGAGACCCGTAAGGCAAAAGAGCAAGGCAGGAATGGGAGAAGGTGGAGAGAGATCAAGGAGGATGATAGAACTGAGGGAGGGAGCTGATTGGAGGAGAAGAGGGAGGCCGGGGCACAATGCTGCGACTCCCCACTGGAAGCAAACGAGCCGTTTGAGCTGATGTCGTCCTGGAGGTGAAGAGAGAGTAAAGACACTAAACTCAAAGCACTAAAGTCGGTGTAATATTTAAATTGTAGTTTCCAGTAAAGTTTTTTTTTATTTATTTGGGGTTAATCGAGATTTCCTTTCAAGCTATTTTGTAGTAGCAATTCATGTAGTTATTTACAACCAACGTCCAATAAAATGACTATGGAGCCGAAAGGATTTTATATTTTTTCCCAGATCATTTTTGGTCTATCGCCATGGTTACAGCAGCACCACATCAGCCCATTCAAGGAGCAATTAATCCGAAAACAAATTCCTTTAGTCTTCACTAGCAGATCCGACGATGAATGTTAAATAATTAGGAACAGCTTCATGTTCACATGCCAGCAAACAGCGGAAAATATTGAGCTACGATGAGCACTTAGCACTAACGTTTTACTGCTGTGCTCTTTAATCGAGCTAGAGAGTGATCAGAGTAAAGCACGTACTTCTACTGGTGTCATAGGATATGTTTTTGAAAAAAAAAGAAATACTACTTGGAGCTGCTTGTAGGCACATTTTGTTTAGCTTTGGATGAGCCATGCTTGTGGTTTCCCCTCCTTCCAGTCTTTATGCTAAGCAAAGCTAGTTGTCTCCTAAATCCAGACTTCCACATTTTTATTTATTTGTTTAATAAAATACTAGCATGCCAAATGTACCCTGAAAGAGTTGTTGCTCACTGCAATTATGTATCTTTCCATACAGTTGGCCAAATGCACACTGTTTCCACCAAAGGTCCCTGTGTGTTTGGCAGGAGGACGGAATAATACTTCCTGGTCGTCGCATGTTTTGTTGTTCCCTGTGGAATCGCACTGGGAAGGAGTTACTTGACAGCCAGAACAACGAAATAACAATTTCATTGGAGAGTAACCCGTTAAACATGACAATAAATTTAATGATAAATTTAGTTATCATAAAAAACTCAGTCCCTTCCCGCCTCTCTTTTCACTTTCAATTTGTGTGCATGTTTATGTCCGGCACGCACATGCGCCCGTGTTGGATTTGTTCCCTCTGTGTTTGGGCCTCAGCTAAAGAAAGCTGTTTATATTTAAATACACTGTAAATACAGAAGGGTTATATTTGGTAACTCTGCTCAGTGTATATTTGGACGCCTGAGTCACTTTTGTGCGTGCCTCTGTTAAATCAACAGAAAAAAACAAAAAAGCACTGCGCCATTTGTTTTGCCAAGACTATTTGTGTGTTTACAGACACGCACACACAGTGAAATAAGGACGTCGATCTGAACGCAGATGAGATAAAGAGGCACAACGCAAAACTACAGCTGTTCATGTGGACAAAAGGGATGATTTGTAATGTTGCTTCTAAATGTGTTTAACAGGTATCTGCCCTCCTGAAGTTCATCCAGGTTTTTTCCGGAACAACACTTAAATCTGAAGGTACTTGTTAACTAAGGAGAACATGTTAGTCACCGTATAATGATAACAATTACCCTCTAAAACGTTTGTTTGTCGGCAGTTTGCTGTGTGTTAACAACGGGCGTCGCGGTTGAGGTAAATAGGTTTTCTTCCAAAATGCTGTAAGTGAAAGCTGAATTTAAACAAACAAGAGAGGATCGTCCTTTTTAGACTCTATGTTGACCATAATTAATACGGCAATTTGAAGTAACCACCTTCAACTCGTGAATTACTGCTTTCAAAGCTTCATTAGTGTGGTGGAAGATTTTGCACAGACAATCGTTAAGTGAGAAACAAAGGCTCTGAGTCAAGTATGTCTTTTCTACGTTTATTTCCTTGCAAGGGAAAAAGGGTCACAACAGCTACGTGGTCAGTAGACTGTCAAGAACCTCCTATTTCCCCCAACACATCGAGGCAGTTCTTATACCTAAGTTTAGATATCGGCGGCGTCAACAGAAACCTTTGACCATCTTGTTGAGTATCTACAGCCAGGATACTGGGAACATCTTATCCATGTAAGACACGTCAGTTCTTTGACCGTGTCCTTGCTCTCCCAACATGCTAAAACAAAGGTGGTCATAGACATAACAAACACTTTGTTCAATCTCTACAGCTATGACGCTGGAAACATCTAATCCAAGTGGGAGACATCAGTTCTTATGTCAGGGCCTTTGTGATCTAAGCACTTGCAACTAATAAACTGGTTATACAAATGAAGCATTTAAAAGGGTCACATATCATTTTCCCATTACATTAGCACGTTTTCTGTCACAGGGCCCGTCGACACGCTTGTAGACTGCAGACAGTCCAGAGCCGCACAGATGAGCTTCTAGCAGATTGTAAAGTTGTTACAATTAATACCAAAGGGCACATGAATTTTTGATTCAAATTTTACTGGGATGCCTTAAATTTTGTGGAGACATTCTGGTTAAAAAATGAAGGGAGTTTGTGGTTGTCCGTTTCGGTGGCACCGATTGTGCTCACCGCTGGACACCGCAACGCTTTAAAAATTAAATTCCCACAGTCGGGCAAGCGGCCTGACGATTTGGACCAGAAGAGAGCACACAGAGACTTTAGATAAGACGGACGGAGAGCGTCGGACAGAACGAGGGCAGACGGGATGACTGCCACTAGAGAGGAAAGAGGCCAATCCCAGGGAGGAGGCCTCCAGAGGGGGTTTGACTGTTTGTCTCCCTGCCGCTGGAGGGGACCACACCCAGACCTCCACCACCCAGACATACACACACACACACACACACATGCAGGAAGCTGATCTGTCAGGCAGCCAACAGGGTTTCCTGTGGTTGGAGCAGGACTAGCGACTTAAATTGCTTGTGTTCTTAACTTGTCCGTCTTACCCTTTCCTCTCCCCTAAATCCATCTCCTCGCTTTTCTCCCTCATCCTGTTTTCTGTAGTTTTTTTCTATTCTTAGTCGTCCACCTCTTCATGGCCCCCTCCGCTGACCGTGTTTCCACCGTTCCTCTTCTTCCTATTCCCCAATGTTTAAACTCCTTTCATTTCTGTCGTCCACTTTTTTTCCCCCCTCTTCGTACTGTTTTAACTTTCCATCCCTTGCTTCCTCTTCACCGCAAAAAAACATCCCTCCTCCTGTTTTTGTTAGAATGTTTGTGTGTTGTTCGCGTGCCCCCCGCCCATGTAACACTTACGGTGTTACAGTTTTCATCCCGTGTGAAAATGGCCCATTGCTATAGCTACATATACAAAATAATGTGAGGTCCCATTAAAGGAAAAGTTGGAGGTATTTCAATTTGTCCACATAGACGCAGGGATTGTGAATCTAAGTTAACTCTCCTCCGTTGTGGAGGTTACGGGAAACAAAGACGTGTGCAATAATGTTCATTGATGCATGCTGATGTTTTTAATTTCTGATTCATAAAATTACAAGAACCACTTAAAAAAAAAAAAGCGAATATCATTGACCCAAAAAACGAGATTGGGAGAAATTGATATACAACATAAAAGAATACTTACACACACAGTCCATGTGCGGAGTGGTTTTATAGGTCTGGGGGCTTATAAAACCACTTGTAACATTCTTAGACAATCGCTGCATCGGTTACTGTGTAATGAATGCAACATTGAACTAGAGGAGAATGAACTGATGTAACTCTCCGCTCGGTCGCGTCAAACAGTCTCACTTCACTGTATCAACACTCTGATTTACACTCATTAGTTTCCGCTTGTTTAGAAATTCACTCTCACATTTCTTTAACGGTCTGCTTAGAGGTGTGTGTCTATGTGTGTGTGTGTGTGTGTGTGTGTGTGTGCGCGCACATGGCAAATTGCTTCACTTTATTTTCGACATGTCACAAACGGCTCTTGGTATCACTTTACAGAGATGTATAACTCTCCGGCAGCGAGACCCTATTCTAACTGATATTTGATAGCTGCATTACTGTTTCTCTAGTTAAAACCCTGCCTTTAAAAGGATTATTGGACACAAACAGCTTTTAAGATCTCTGTCCTTTTATAGTCAAAGATAAGAGGTAAAACAGGCCCGGGGATTAACCGTTAATCTACTTCAGTGCATGTTTGAAGTGGCTCGTTTCAGAGTGTGTTTGCTGAGTGCTGATGGACCGGTTCATTCTCCATCACATTAAAACGGGTAAATTGTCTTGAGATAAAAGAGAGGCCTAGAAGTGATTTGACTTTTGAAGTGTGTCTACTGAAGTATTTTCAGATGCGCAAAAAAAGAAATTCAGGTCAAAAGGACAAATCAAATAATTATATTCTAATCTCTTTATTTGGCCATCTCTTAATCCCCATTTCCCAAGCTTCTCCATCCTTTAGACAAACATTGCTAACTGGTAATTCACTAAATCAGTTTATTCAGAGAAATCTGACTCCTTCACTCCTTTCATCACATTTCAGGGGGAATCCATCCCTCTAATCCTCCTCTCCTCTCTATTCAGGGTTGTGTTCCTGGTGCCGGGGGCAGAGACCATCTTGGACCAAGAGGAACATCTGTTTCCACACTGACGTTACCTGGGAGCCGCTCTGTATCTCCCTCTGTTGAGGTGCGATCGGCCTCTGGACTGCGTTGGAGGGCGGCTCGTGTTCTGGGCTCCTCCATCGTGGCCGTAGGGATACGAATGAGAGTGAGGGTTGACACGCCACGCTGTCGATCTGCCCTCACATTCACTCAGGTCTCCACTGGCCTCCCCGCTGGCTCTCCATCCTCCTCCATGTCCATGGCCTCCTCCTGTTTCGCCTCTTTCCCTCCAGTCCTTGGCGCCACCTGAAAGTGAGGAATGTAACATTTTAAGCAGTTTTCTTAGTTATGGATATTTAACCTTTAGCCATTAATATTTAGTTGAATCTGGTCCTCTGTCTTTAAAAGTTAATGTTGAGAAAAATACTTCTGTCAAAATGTTTTGAAACCTGAAAGTAACTTAAGGAGGAAACCGGTTCTTTATTACACATCCAGAAGTTACAGAGAAACATTAGCATTAACTTAACATGGAACATACATCAAAAAAATCTTTCTTTAGATGCTACATTCTCCACTATGTTCGCCAGCTAATCTGCAGCTGGGCCGGTCGGTCTGCTGGTGCAAATGAAAACAGTTAATCAATCCACTCGCCGGATGCGAAAGTATGGAAGAAGAAAAAAAACAAGAGAGCACGGCATGCATAAATAAATGTGTCAGTCAACGGTTTCTGTGGTTGGCGGAAGTTTCAGTTTCTCGGATTTAGATTCAGAATAAACCCCAAAACATAGAGACAATTAAGATTAGAGAAAAACATCATCTTCTTTTCATCAACCCCATCAACAATACGGCTCTCAGCTAAAGTCAACTCAACTCTACAAATGGGAGGCGATCTGAAATAAACTGAAGAGACGTGGGAGAGCAGCTACACTGGAGTCACTGTTGGAGTGTAATTGCAAGGGCAGGCGGGCAGAGTAGATATTTGCTGAGGAGACTAAACATCAGGCCTGATTCCAAACAAAAACCAAAGCCGGGCCCTCAGCGATACCACATAGCGCCACCACTACTCACACTCACACTCACACACACACACACACACACACACACCACAGCTCAGTTGTAATGATTGGTGTCTGCGTCTGGCAGAAGTGAAACCCTGAGGTAGAAAGAGTTTACGGTCTTCCATCTTTAAAACCAGAAACATCCTCGCGAGACCGTCGACTTGGGCAAAGCGCAGACAGTTCGGCGCAATTCCGGGAGACTCTGGACCAACGTGACACGCAGAGAGACGGTCGCCAGAGGTTTACTGAATGTTTAGTCACAGGGTCGGACTGAAAGCGTGGGCTCACGTTTCATAAGCCACACGCCGAGTCATCTGCTGAGGCTGAACACGGAAGAAGGACGGAACGGACGGCGAGCTGAAGTCTGCGCGCTGCAGCGAAGAGCGTCGTGTGCCTACAGGCCACATCAAGGGCTCCTGCACACACTCTCCTCCTGCGATTCATTACCGAGTCAACTGAGCTTTTCAAATTGATGTTTTTACTGTCACACAGATCATCATCTTTATCTTGAATCTTTTTTTTTTGATAAAGGCATCAACCAATCAATCAATCAACTACGAAGCGTGCATGCTCCTTATAATAAATATGGAATAAAGCCAGCAAACTTTATTTCTCGATTTGATCTTGGCAGAGATCCAGAGCATGCTGGATCCACGGCTTCAGATCATACTTTCCACAATAAAAGCCCTAGACTGTGTAACTGTAAAACAAGAGGGATATTAAATTCAGGGGATTTCACTTAAATTACAAATATAAAACAGCTTAAAATAGTTTAAATTACCAGTAGTCAGTAATCTTTAGTCGGCATGGCATTTGCTGATATCATGAGTAGGGTTGATGATGTTTGAATAGTAAAGTAATTCAAAGTGTTTGTGTTGTTTATTTGTCACACCACTGGTGTATAAAGGCCTTTTCCCAATTCAGGTTGTAGGTGTTTAAGAGCGTGAATACATTTAAAGACCTGTGTATAATAAGATGGGAAGGCGTCTGGAGAACGTTAAGGCTCCAAAGGCAGCAACAACGAGCAACAAGGACAATAGAGGATGAAGAGTAAAATTAGAACAGTAAGATAAAAATAAAAGGACAAGGAGTTAGATGGAGGGGAGCGACTGAGGGGAAGGGGAGAGACAGAAGAGAGGTCTGTAATCAGTCCGCCTTGTTGTGTGTCTTAAAATAGAGTTCTCTCAGTCTATTAACAGAAACCTACTATTACTGGTGCAACGACATGGCAGGGTCTTGGATTCAAGTGTGCACATATGAGTGAGTACGTGTGTGTGTGTGTGTGTGTGTTGTGTGTGCGTGCGTGCGTGCATGTGTACACGCTGGTATGCATTAGGCTAGAGCACACATGGAGCTGGTTACTGCGAGGCCCTCTGGGTAATGTGGTTCGGAGAGAGGCACCAGAGAACTACAACCACGGATGAACTGTCAGATTGAAATGCTGCTGTGTTGAGCGGTTTTATCAGTCAGAAAACAAATACAGACGTCATAACAACCCTTTGATAATGTTTTGGGGAGGCAATTTTGCTTATTTATTATAAACTGTACAATAAAGAAAGGAAACAGAGGAAGACAAAGAGGAATGTGATGCCACAACGGTCCCCAGCCAGATTTGCAGCAGGGCCTTGTGGTTATACGGTATGCATCCTAACCGCCGGGCCGCCCTAGGAACACCATAACATTTCTTAATTCAGGTCAAAACTTTTTTCTCTCTGTGACCTTTATTTAACCATGGTGGTCACAACACCAAATCCCCTTCACCAAAGAGTTCTGGTCTAAATAGCAACATAATTATGTTCCACAAAACTCACAGGACCAACATTCACTGAGTTGAGTCAGAGTCGAGGAGTTCAAAGGCATTTAATCATTTTTAAAACACGAAGCAGTCAAAATTTTAAAGAGCAACTTGCTGTACTTGTATCATGCATTTTGACACTTGGTTTTTGATCAAGTAATTTTAAAATGTTTTAAATATATACTGAAATATCTTAAAAGACTAAATTTGATGGGACAATGTAGAACTTTATTGCTGACTGCGATAAAAAACTTCCATTAAGTTGATCCTTGTGGATTTCCATTATTGAGATAATTGTCAATATTGCCACAGAAGTGAGTAGAAAAAGCTGTCTAGCTTCTTAAATATATAAAGACTAATTCAGAAAGTACAATGTTGACACAGTTTCTATTTTTTTATTTTGACATTATTATTTTTGACCTTTTTATCCATTTTACCTATTTATACCTATATTTACCTATTTATATATCTTACTCAAGTTTAGTTATTTTCACTAAAAATAAAATTACTTTTTACAGAAAAGCAATTTTCAGAGTTGTATGCAAATTTAGATAATTACCTGGATAATATTGTGAATCACAATTATTTGGGACAGGGCCGTTTGAAAGGTGTTCACTGAAAACCATTGAAAGGCAGATGGCTGAAGTTGGAAGCGGCATGTACGGACAGGCGAGTCAGAATAGTCCCTCACCTGCGTGTCTCTCTCTGTGTCCGGTTCCAGGTGGGACTCCAGGACCTCGTTCCGGTGCACAGGGTCTGGACTGCAGGACTCTGCCTCGCTTCCCGCAGGCTTCTCCAAGTTTCTCCCTCAGGCGGATAAACAGTGACAAACGGGACGGCTGGAGAGAAAGAGACACGCAAAACAAGCAGCCGCGACACAAGACTACTTTTACTAAATCCCGCCACAACTGCACACGCACTGACACACAGTTTGTTGTTTTTGCCTCTACTCACGTCACTCTCCAGCAACACGGCCTTCTCTGTGCCGCTGTGTGCCAGCAGGTACTTTGAGTGGAACAGCCGTCCGTCGAAGCTGTGCCAAGGCATAAGGGCAGCGCCGGGCAGCGGGCTGCCGCTGGCACAGTTGGCGCCCAGCAGGTTGCCGAGTCCTCGGACATAGAGAGATCCCAGCTGCACGGCGCGACTCGACAGGACCGGCAGCTGAGAGTGGAGGAAGAAAGAAGTTTGGCTTTAGCTCGATGCTTTAAGGATGAGACACCCGCGGGCGACAGTGACCCTGTGCGGGACGGCCAGCGGCTCCTACCGGACTTCAACAGATGAAGCTTCACACACACGATCACTCGGGCAGACGTGGAGGGAGAGACCGAGCTTCACTTAAACTTGCCTAAAAAACCCATCTGTTTCTGCAATATGATTGGTGTCACCACCCAAAGCTAATTTCGTCAAGTTTTACTTACAGCTCCTAAACTAATTGATGAATTGAACCCCAGTTTGCACCACCTCATCTCCTCAAGCCCAACGCATTACCTACACAGATATACACGACTCACACCACCCACTTCAATGTCACAGGCCATCCAGGTAGCTGGTTGAAACCGATTAACGGGTCTGGTTTACACATTTTGCAGGGAAACTTACATAGATAACTGCATAGAAAGTTATCTACTGCATAGATGCGTTTACTCTAACAGCATCGCATTGGTATATGAAAGTAAAATGATGCAGTAAATGTGGCCTTAGACTTTTCTTATCAAATTATTTGATGATTGACTCTATGGACGGCCAGTACACCGCTGGACACAATTCCTTAGGAACGTGGTTCTGCCGAAATCATTTAAAGATATTATTATTTTTACATTGGATTAAGTCAGGATGGTTTCTGACAAAAAAAACATAAAACGAGCAGGAAGAAAGAAGATACTGTAGGAATACAATACAGAAAAATAAGACAAAGGGCATGAAGAAGAAAAGGAGATCTGTGACACCAGGCAGATGTTCTCAGTCTGTGTGTGTATTCCTTCTCACCTGTCCCCTGGTAGATAGGACTAATAACAGTGATTACAAGTATGTGTGAGTACACACACACACACACACACACACACACACACACACACACACACAACAACCCTGCCTGCCACCTGCTTCCAGTCAAACACAGCTTCACCTTCTGGAGACAAAGAACCACTGGACAGAGACACAAAAGCTCGAAGGCGCACACAAACACACAGACACAAAAAGAGAGGGAGGGAAGAAGAGCGATAAAGAGCAAAGTGAAGAGAGACAGAAAAAAGAGAAAGTGGCTGAGAGCGTAAATTAAAGGAACATGAGAACACTCAAAGTGAGAGAGACAAAGACAGAAACGTGTGTGTGTGTGTGTCCAGCGGGCGGAGTGTGCTTGGTGTAAATAGCTCCATGTGGTGAGCGTCAGCCAGGACAGACAGGCGACTGTCGCCAGCATATTGTGTTACACACACACACACACACACACACACACACACACACACACACACACACACACACACACACACACACACACACAATCCCTGGAGAAGAATGCTGAAATGAAACAGATCTTAAAACATACCCGCAACCCCTTTACCCTAAACACACACACACACACACAAAGGTGTGAGACAGTTTTAGTCAACTGAACTTATTTTGTTTTTTCGGGTGTAAAAATAAAGAGGTTTTCAATTGGTACAGTTACAAAATCCAATATAAAAATCTTTGCGTGCACGTCAGAATATTCATTAGTTCTGATATATTTGAGTGTGCGTGTAAGTAATCTGTACGAGTCACTGCGTTAACCCCCCCTGCTGCAGCCTTGAACTTCTCCCAGACAGCAGATTCAAATCAACGCCCAGCCCTAATTATTGTGTAGAACAGACAAGCAGCAAAAATACAAATTACTTGGCATAAGTATGGTGATTAAGCAGTAAAACGAAATGAGGCTACAAGGCAGCAAACAGCGCAGCTGTTTTCCAGAGAAAAGCAAAGCTGACTCTTCTGGAAGAGTCGTCTCCACCGAGCTCACTGAAGATGCTGCGGAGGCAGAAGTAATAATGCTGCCTCGCAGATGTTATTGACACTTGGCTCCAGATTATCAATTATTTGTCTGTATATTTCTGTCTAGACGTTTATTCTGATCAGCGGTTCATCTTCGAGCATCAGACTCGCCGCTCAGATCAGAGTTCCACCTCCTGCAATCATATTTGTACTTTAATAAGTTTTTGAATTTCATAATCTAAAATGCTGCGATGTGACAACAGAGAAGCCGTGAAGCTAATTCAGCTCTAGTTTCCCGGATAAAAAAAAAAAGAGCAGAATGCAGTTTGCTCATCATCATCACCAGCTATACCAAGTGAACCTTGAACTACAGCTGCGTTAGACAGCGACATCTTTTCAAGCTTTCAGGTTGGGTCTGCAAAAGTATAAAATACAAAATCACTATTTTGAATACAACCAAAGCAGTTTAACCAGAATTGTTTGGGCTTTTTTGTTTGTGTACTTCATTGTTTCTCTGGAGACACAATTGGCGGCTTAATTGTTTGTTCTCCCAATCTTTCTTTTGACTTTCTAAAACTGGAAACATTTTCGGAGTTGTGTTTGCCACAGAAGGGCCTTGTTTACTGTCAACTGCAGGAGACATTGTCTTCTGCAGCAGGAACGTCAACAACTCTGAGTGCATCGGGGCCGACCGGGCGAGTGAAAATCTGAAAAATAAGCAGTTCCCTTTAAAAGACGTCTAGTTTTGGTCTAAATTCGAAAAAACAGCAGAGGACTTCTACATTAAGTGTGCATTTGTATTAACAGACCTTGATGTTTTGAAGATCATTGGGTGATTTCAGTCTTAGACACACAGCCTGACTCAGGTAAGCATCAACGTCCTCTTGAGACAACGTTTGTACCTGAAATCACACAGACGACATTACAGTCAATTCAATCACAGCCCTGGTATGTTGTTTGTGTGGGTCTGTTTGTTTCTTCTGCTTTCTGTACCACAATTCAACCAAGAGCAGAAAAAAACTGAAAGCAGAAACAAGGCTGCCCAGCTGTGTGTACAAAACAAACAAACCCTGAAGCTATTTAAATTGGCGAGTGACGAGGGAATGTGAATGCAGCAGCGATCAGACAACAGCAGCTCCTGTTGTCGGTCAGCCTGACTACTCGTCTAACGGGCCGTCTACCCAGCGTCTGTTGGCCCTCATCCATTTAAATGACCCGTATGTTATCCCCAAAACCTCCATCTGACCTTTGAGTCTCTGTCTGGACAGAGTTCTGTTAGGTACAATTATTTAGTAAAGGTTGGTTTAACTTACAAAGGTGTGTTTGGCCATGGCTCGTCTCCCGGCTTCTCTACTTTGATATTAGCAGCTAAGAGCATAATACGCCCAAATCTTCAACCAAACTATCAGCAGTCAAGTTGCGTTGAGGGTAGTAAAACTGCGTTTTTCCCAACATGTAGTTTGTCAAATGCAGTATGCCATCATCAGTCTGACAATTTCTTGGAATAATCTTAATGTATTTCATAAAGTGTGACACAAAGATGTATAAATTTAAAGCCCGGTTTAGGAAAAGCCAAAGCAAGTCAAATCTTTTGTATCACACCGGTTTGTTCTTGAGCTGATAAATGAATCCACACAGTTAATTTTTGTTTAGCTTCTGCAAAATGACGCATGCACCTTCATCCAGGTGATCTAATCCTATAATCTCTGTTGCGTAAAAACTCAATAAAATGACATCAATGCAAAATGCAAAAGTCTCTGCTTTTTTCTTATACTTTAAAAATGATTACTCTGTTGGAAGAATTGAAAACAAGGCATTATACCAGGATTACAAACAGCACACATATTTATGGTTTAACATTTACAACCAAAATAAGGACACAATCGCAGCAGGGTAAATTCAGAGATATTCAAAGCCTCTGGGTGGTTATCAGAGGAGCTGTTGACGTAGGAGCTGGAGTTACAAAGACCAGTCTGTGGCTAAACTGGGCACTTAGTGGGTGATGGTGGTTATCATTATGCCAAGACAACACATAACAAGCCAACAAGTGATGTTTAACTTCAAGTCACAAGTCGACAAAGGAGCTGAATAATTATTGTCTATATGTTTTAGTAGTAAATCCCAAATCAAAAGAGGACTCATTTGCCCAAATACAAATTGACTGCCTCGACTGCCTCATTTAACAGCTTAAGTTAGTCATTGAATACTAAAGCAAGCATGCTGCCTGACCAGTGAAAACCAAAACAGTCCCATCGATCACAGTGAAGTACCCATCACTAATGATGTTGTCATGTTTTCTGCACCTGCACAAAACATTGAAACAAAAAAGAGTTGATACTACCTGGAGGACAATGTAAGTGACCAGGCAGAGAGCAGCCAAGAGGGCGTCTTCAATGTCTCCATGCAAGTCAGAGAACTCCTGGCAATCAAAGATTGAAAGGAATGACATCAAGCGAAGTGTAGGAACCTCAGGACTGGTCCCAAACCACAGCAGGTCCAGACTGGGCTGATGATCTACACGTTCAGACAAGGCCAGAAGTTACAGAATGACTTTGCTTAGTAGGTGAACAACGCTGCATGAAAACTTTCAGTCATTCTGATGGCCAGTGACTCCTGCACGGTGTGTCTACAAATAACTTAATTGAAAAACAAAACATAATTCAGAGGAAACAACATGTTCAATGACCAAATTACTGTGGTTTTGTTGCTTATTAGAAGCTTTTAAACTTAAAGCGATTACCAAAACATCCATATTGAACAAAAAAACTACTACGCAAAAAGATAAACGACTCTGCTCCTAATTAATATCAGCCTGCATAATGAGAATCCAAAGTTTTGTCTATAAAAAGCTGCCAATTGAGAAATGAGGAAAAGAGCAGGTACAGTACATGGGAGGTGGACTGGGACGGGGTGGACCATGTCAGGTTCCTTCAGCGGGTTTCCACCGTAGACAAACCATTCCCTGATTGCTGGAAGGTCGACACTGCTGCCTGAAAACGGAAAAGTCGTGGTCAGACTTGGCCTGACTTTGCACCATTGTACGGAAAAGACCAAAAAGCTTTCATGTCTTTATTTTTAAACTGCTCTTAACTCTCTTAACTACTACTCTCCTCTGCAAATGTGCGGCTGTCTACCATTAGATGTGCATTTGTCCGTTGGTGATTTTATACTTACATATTTGTTTTTCTGTGTGTCAATGTTGTTGCTGGAGTGCCAGTGCGTCTGTGTGTTTATGACATCATGTAGGTTGACGGTCTTACCTTCATGGCCGTGCAGGAGCAGCAGGCCGTAGATCCGCTGTCTGCAGGGCTTGTAGACGAGGGCCTGAGGCAGCAACTCAGAATCCTCTTCATCCTCCAGTGTGTTGCTACAGTGAATGACTCCCTGACACACAACACTGTAAACCATAAAACCCTCTGTTGCTACGTGCTTCTCTCTGCAAGCCTAGGTAAAACCACAAAGCAATACACAGAAAGTAAGTATGTGACATTTGGTACTCTCAAAACAGAAAAAGACACAATAAGGGGCAGAAGATACCTTTAATATCTGTGGACTAACATGCTTCTCAAAGGCAGAGGGAGGTGCAGAGATGTCACCTCGCTGAGAAGCGTCCTGTCCAGGCAGCAAGTAAGAGCAAACCCCCTTCTTCAGAAGCTCTCTGTGAGGAGCTGACAGGTTCACAGAATGAGGAATAAATTCAGGCTCCTGCTCCTCTCTTCCCCACAAGGAGCTCACAAGTTGGGATACAGCAAGCACCTTCTGGCCCTGAGGAGCACCGCGGTGTGATGCAGGATTGTTTGTCCTGGAAATAAATCAGCTTTTTGTCACATACACACTTGTCACACTTCAACGACAAAGGTAACAATTATGTAGAGGATAGTGTGTAAATTAATCATAAATTTCAACACAAAATGTCAAACCCCAGATACCTGTATGTCGCTATGGCGTTGTTCCTGATGTGCTGCATCTGCTCCTCTGACACCACATCGTTACCTAGGAGACAGGCCAACAGTGGTAGTTGGGTAGCGGTCAATCCGATGGCGTGGCAGAGCCTCTGTCGGTCGTACAGGACAGTGGTGAGGCTGTCTATCCGCAGCTTTGCCACAGACAAGTAGGGGGCACTTTACAATATAAAACCACACGTTACAGTCTTATTAATAACAGTAATCCACAGAAGAAAAAAATTCAGCATTTTTACTGACCACAATGTAGTGTAAGGACAATCTTTCTGCTGCAATTTAAACATTTTTTCCAATCCAACAGGAATTTGAACAAACCTGTCGTATATGATGAAGTCTGAGTCCTGTCCCAGAATGCCCATACAGCCATGCTGACGAGCATAGCTGGCAATCTCATAGTCAGCCTCCTGCTCGGAGCAGAACACGCTCTGACCCAATGACCTGTGAACAACATCAGAATCTGCAATAAGAAAATAATCCACTAAAGACACAATATTGCCACCGTAAAAAGAAATAGCAAGAACTGACATTAATGGTGGGTTCAAACCATGATGGGTAGTCTGTGTTATACATTAAGTGTATACATATGTAGACCACTAGGATGTAACCAGATTTGTAAATGCTGACCTGAGAGCAAAGCATGTGAATGTTGCCAGACCAGAAGGAAGACAAAAGAGCGCTCTACCAGGCTGCACGCCACATGCCTTGATGTGACGAAACATTTTAGAAATCTCCCCGTTCACTCTGCGTCTCCTCTTCACCTGTCGACAGGAGAGAATGTTGGATATAGATAATAGATAGAATAGATATATATAATTAGGATTTCAATGTCCATGAGGTTGGATATATATATTATTTGTTTGTGCTCTACATGCTTAGATGTTATAAGTAAAACTATAATAACATGTTCATCTGAAATAAGTATAAGTGCAATGTCTACAAATAAAGAAACAAAAAAAGACCACACTCTGCTTTAAGATGCTGGTTATTGTAGACTCTCAAAAAATGTTTGTAAGTGACGGCACTACGAGCTCATCGGTTACTGGATGTGCTGCATGTGGGTTGATTTCAGGGGCAGACACAAGACAATTTGACATTCAACTTTGACATAATTGAAGACAACACAGTTAGTTTTATTCCTCACCCACACTTGTCTCTTCTGATCTTCTACAACTCCATCGAAGAAGAAGACGAGTCTGATGCCTGCTGACGTGAAGGCCTCCACCCAGCCCTTCAGCAGCTCCATGTACTCCCTCCACTGCCCGCCACACACCCAGTCCTTACATGTGTACCAGTGACGCAAGCAGGCCATACCATCCACTACGAGTGTGGGACCTGAATGGGGGTGAAAACACATGATTGATGCATGTGTCATCTCGTTATATAAATTAAATGTTTTTGATAGAACAAGCAGACTGGAAAAGTAGTGAACATACTTGCATTGGTTTTATTAAACAGCACCCCAATTTATAATACATAAGCTTGAAATAGTTGTTGAATTATATTTAATAATACCCCCCCCCCCATCTTCCCCGAGACTAAACGCCAGGAGAGCTGAAGGAACTCAATCATTTCGCAGAGACATTCCCACTGTCACACTGACGTGAACTCAACTGGGGATGTTAGCTGTGCTTGTGCAGACTCGCTGCCTTTTGGCCATTTCTCTCAGATGAACAGTCACACGAGCTTCTGGGCAGCAACTGTCCACAAAGTGCTGAAGTCCTTTCACACCCATCCCTGCGGAGAGAAGAAACAGAGAGAGACGGCGCGAAGTCCTTTGTAACGGTGTAACGTCACTGGAGAACGACGAGTCATTCAGTTTGAGAGGTTAGCTTAGCTTACGGTCGTTTTGCTTACGGCGAATCAGCCGTGTTTCATTTACATGAAAGCCAACTGGTCTGCACTTAACTGTGTGAAACGCTTCCACCCCGTAGTAGTGCTTCACGGGGCGGACTTACTTTAATCTCTTGCTGTTGCCTACACGGGGAGGATGATGTATCCGTGTCGCGCCGCGTTCACACCACTTCCTGCAATCTACGTCTGACGTCATCACGTTGCAAAACAAAGCGCACGTGCTCAGCGCGCAGAAGCACCCACGGGGCAAAGTATGTGATTGATAAAACACTTTGCTGGCCAAAAAATAAAATACATCCACGAGGCGCAATTTGGATAACTAAGGAGATCGTCGTTGTTCTGGTGCCTTAATGAAAAAGTAAACATCTTAATACGGCATGAATAAGAATAGACCATTGAGGTTTTTGTAGGCTCAGTCCACCAATAATAACTCCCCAGGCTAGGATCAGAGACAGGCTAATTGCTCCCCAGCTTCTCCTGGAGAATGGGGGCTCTCTTTCTGGAGTCACAAGCTATTAGGTCTACCTTCTCCACACAAAGCACCCCCGTCCCTTGCACTCTATTGTCTGGGTGGAACAGGAATAAAGAATAGGACATATGCTGGATGTCAGTCCAGCTGTCAGCATCTGTCGTTCCTCAGCCAGATGCTCTGTGGACTGGGAGGACAATCAAACCTTTCCAGTCAACTGATCTTCAAAGAGGGAGGAGCTGTGTTGTAAATCCCCCCCTGTGCCCTCCATTATAGCCACTGGACTCATAAAGACCAAATATAAAACATTTGGTTTTAAATAAAACTTGGCTAGTTGTTTGAGCCTTGGTTCCCGAAAATCCCTGTGACAATAATGATGGTAACTGTAAATTTAAAACAATAGGCTAGGAAAACCTCAGCCTCGAGTACGCTTTTACGAAAGAGGGCTGTTGACCTGTGCAGATGTTGAACAAACAACTGCTTTACCCCTTCTGAACTTTCTGAAACTGAAACTTCTCAGTTTGAAGCCAACAAAAACTGAACTGCTTTTTCATTTGCAAAGCAAACAACAAGAGGCAATGCAAAACAAAGTAGTAGTAGTTGCTGTGAGTTTTTCTGGAGAGGAGGGATCTGGCAACATGCCAAATGGATTATTTTTCTTTATCTGGCCTAATGAGCAACACGATGGTCTTATCCGCTGTTAACACTTATGATAATGGTTTAGTCTGATGGGAAGTGCTGAACATCGCCCATCCGTGATGGGGTTGGACGGAGGGGATAGTTTACTCTCTAGGACTGAACTGGGGAACGAGCAGGACAGTAAACATAAATTGCATGTGGGCTGCGATAGAATATCATGTGGGTTTGAGAAAGTCCCATGAGTTCTGTAGGGTTACGTTTTTATTGTATTGCTGGTTTGGGATTTGCAATTCATGGTTTACATGTTGTTGCATATATTATGGACATTTTTGTGTACTGTAATGTAATCAAACAAAAGATCTGAAAATCTGGAATCAGGATAATGAGCGGTATATCAAAATGAAAAATGTGCTTTTCTAATTGTACAAGTTAAATTGTGATACTTGCCCCATCGAGCTCAAGCGCTGTTCAGACTTGGTTTCATTTGGATCAGGTTATTGCTCCTGGGAAAAGTCTGTTTTCATAACCTGCACATGAACAACATACAACATGTGTTTATACCTGGATGTGCAGGCATGCTTTTTGTTCATGTCCCTGTGTTTATGTGATCACAGAGGACCAGAGGTGCAGAGAGGGTTATCCTGCGCCCTACTTTCAGCAAACACTGTTCGGGTTTGTTGCCTATTCACGTTGGATCATTTCAACTTCCTCCTCCTCCTACACTTACTCTTCCTTCTTGCCTTCATTCTCCTTCCCTTTGAATTTCCCCCACCCCCCAGTTGCCTCCCCCACGCCTGACCAACGATTGACTCAGGAGAAACAGAGGCAGATGTTCCAGGAGCACACGACAGCCCTCAGCCCACCCACCCCCCTCCCATTTGTACTGGATCAGCAGTTAACCCCCGGAAAGAATTGACCATACAGGCGCGCACACACATACACACAAAGAACACCTCTGCACAAATCTGCACGGGCTCAACAGTTGTCCAACTGAATGAACAACACACACACACACACACACACACTCATACATACACCAAGTGCTGTCCAAATCCCTTCAGTGTCCCTGATAGTAGCCACCCTGGGGTCAGGCCTGGTCACGGCGTCCAGGGCCGAGGGTCTCTCTGGGCAGCTGGCCTGGCTAATCCTGCTGCTGGAGGCCACGGGTTCTCAAACTAAAGGCCAAGGACCCCCATGGGGCCCCAGGGCAGGGATCCCAGGGCAGGGATGTGAGTGATTTTGTTTTTAAAAAAGTGGTTTGTTTGCATGCTTTAAGTCTGCTAAACATGGAATAATCAATTGCATTGTATACCAAGACCTAAACTGTGACAATCATGTCAGAAATTAAAAAGTGCTAAAGTCATCATCCCGAATTAATGTCCAATCATTATATATTAAATGGCTTTAATACCCAGTGTTTGTTCCAAAACCTACCAACATTTGTTTGAAATTCCTAATTCAAATCTCCTGGGGGGTTTT